ATCAATAACGCTGTTTGATTAAGCTAATTATCAATATTGCTATCTCACTATTCTTGTAATTACTCAATAAGAAGCATATAAATATTGTCGAAGCAGTTACTCATCACTCAGCACCATCAGCTCGCTATTTCAAGAAAAGTTCCCGGTGTTTTTGGGTTCATTCAAGCTCCATGGATTCTCAGGCCAAACGGCCGCGCAAATCGCTTAACTTCACGCCTATAATAGGAAACAAGCCTGAAGTAATTTCTTCGGCTTTACCCCCAGGACTCGTGTATGAACACTATTCTATTCATAAATCAGACAATGCAATTGAATTGCGCGTGATGTACGGAATTTAAGATTTAAATAATCATAGCGTGACGCTACACTCCAAATAATTAATGGATCGTATTACGCAAATAGTGACACTTTCTTACCCACAGCACGTGCAAACAGCGGACGTCACACTGATGCGCCCTTTCGCCGGGCGAAAATGTGTCAGGATGACATACACAAAAGCAAAAAGTTCAACTTATGATGAACAAACATTTTTCGTGTGTACCTTTTAAACCTGGACTCATTGGAAGCCTCTAGTGTTCTATACCTATATCGGTGACCATAACACAGCCACGATCCAGTTTCACCGCGGGGTAAGGCGAGCGAGAGTCTCCGCGTGCTGGCCACGGAGAAACTGTCTCCGAAAAACCCGCCCCTCTCAAGCCGGTCCGCAGCGTCTCCAGGTTCGCTTTCGTGCGGAGACGAAACCATCCATCCGAATTCTGTTCCTTTGTTTACGCGTGAATTTTTATTGGCTGAACTACCTCTGTTCCTTCTAACTACAACTACTTCTGTTCCTTCTAAATTCAACTTCAGTTAGTGGCAGTTTTAACGAGCCTCTTGGCTACAACCAATCGCACTGCGTGCATGGCGATACATGAACGTCATTTTGAATAGTATTTTTTGCGGTGTAATATTAATAATTTATTGAATCGCGTGATTGTTTTTCTAGGTAAAAGCTTTTACACGTTTTTGCTAAAAAAATCTGGCATCAGAGCTGCAAAGATGAACCCTTAACAATTTGTATATCTGACCAAATGAAGAGCTATGCTTTTTTAATTAAGCGGCAAATGCCGTACTCAATATAACAACCAATACAACTGCACGCATGAGCAGCTGTGCTTCCTTTTATTGATTGGCTTGTTACACTCTTCAACGCTGAGAACATTAAAGTGTCAATTACTACGAAGGTCTGGGAAATCCACAGTAATTCATTAGTTAAGTTTCCAGGAATTGAAGCTGACCCAGCTGACCTCTATGCGTGCATAAGAAATCTTAGCAGTTGTTGTTTGGAACCTAAAATTCAGCCCTGCATCACCGACGATTAAGGAATTCTTAGGTTACTTCATTAATTACTGTGAGTACGTCACTCAGGTCAGACTCAGAAATGAGTGAGTCTTTGACCAAATAGCGAAGCTTTTATACCCCATGTGGGTCATTCTGATCCAGCTTGGCTTGGCACAAGGACGTGGCATTGCTGCGCCAGATCTCTTTTCAGTCTAGGGTAAGAATTGAACAGTGCCATTATTTGAACAATTTTACACAATCTTTTTCTGCGTACATTGTGGACATTTGTTACTCCCCCACACACGAGGCTCTTGAGGTACTCTGCGCGCCGATCTTCACATAAATCCTCGCTTGACCTGCTGCGCTTGGGCTTCCAAAGCTACGTTTTTGCAAACTAATATGTTATTCTGTTTCGTTATCCAGTAATTCAGTTTCGTAATACGTTATTCATTTTTTTAATTTAGAGGATAATATTGGTTCAGTGTTGAACAATGCAAAGAAGAAGTAATAATTCAACACAACATAGAGATAACTGTAAAATGATGAGCTATTACCCGCCCCGTAAACTTTTCCGCTATTTTCTATCTACTTAGCTCATTTACCCAAGAAGTTTCTGTCCAAGTAAAAACTGTGACGGAACGTATTAAGTCCGCATTTTGTGTTTCAAAAGACGCAAGGAAACATATGTGCCTGGAGTGGTTAACAAAGTTGAAACGGTTCTAAAGCCTTGAAAGCTGATTATCATTTTATGCTCGCCAAGTCAATTCATGCCAATCTACCTGTCATGCCCAATGAACTGCAAGATCTGTCATTTGACTTTTCGATAAATAGCAAAAAAATTCGAATTAGGTACTATTGTCATTGATACTAATGAATCAATCGCCGATAAAAAACTGATGCCACTAATTATAATATATCTCATCATTTCGGACTGTTAAAAGTTTGTTTTCATAGCAGCGATTGTTTACTGCGGTGTTTCGTTGTTGTCGATCGTGCTGCATGTTTGTATGGTTCGTGCTGCTGTTTGTCATCACGCACCTGTTATGTCTTGCGTAGATATGTTGCGTCACGCACGAGTGCGTGTGCGTGTTAGTGAAACGTTTCTGTTTGATGGTATATGGTATATGTGCAAGTTTAAAATAAATTGTGTATGGGTGATATATTATAGTAGTTGAAGTTGAAAAGGAGCGAGGATAGTTTAAACGAAGCTAAATTACTTCAATAGTGTTTCAAAACTAAATATTTAAGATTATTTCTGGGTTATATGGTTCTGCTTTGCGGCTTAATTTAAAATCCGGCCGCAATGCAGAATTTATTCACCATGTCTCGGTCTCGAGGATATTTTTTCGTGTCGCCGTGCCAAGTGCAATTTTTCATGGAGTTCCGGCCGACAAAAATTCTGATGATTGCTTGGTCATGGAGTGTTTTTGTTGTGAATGTGAATTGCTTGGCCATGGAGGGTTTTTGATGTGAATTTGATGCTTGGCCATGGATGGTTTTTATTGTGAATGTGAATGGCTTGGCCATAGAGGGTTTTTGTTGTGAATCTGAATTGCTTGGCCATGGATGATTTTTGTTGTGAATGTGAATTGCTTGGCCATGAATGATTTTTGTTGTGAATGTGAATTGCTTGGCCATAGAGGGTTTTTGTTGTGAATGTGAATTGCTTGGCCATGAATGTTTTTGCTTCTCATGTCTCGGCTTCTCGGCTGACGCTCCTCGCGTTCACGTCTCGGCTGCTTGGGAAAGACGCTTTTATATCACCATCTTTATCGCTGTATTCGTCGCTCTAATAACACGATGTGAGGATCATCGTCTCTATAGCATCTCTGCGTGGCGAGGACTTAACAGATAGATAATCCAGGTAATCTGGATAATCGCTGAGTGTCCCACCGGACGCCTTCGATCTCTGGAAATCGTCAGGTGGTTTTTATACACGCAGGACACGCGTGACTCAATGTGATTGAAATAACCTGCATTAACCTTGGATAACCTTGGATTCTGCATTATTTTTCTGTTCCTGTTAGAGATATGTTTGACGGAAATTATATTCCTAAATGTGCTTAAAATTTTCAGACGATGATTATGGAAATATATATAAAGGAAATTAACTAGTTAGGTTATCCGTACATTATGAACGCGTTGTACATGAATTGCACAAACAAGCAGTTTCGATGAAAAACTTTCCAATATCCTAAAATTTGTCGATCTTCGCTTCGCTTCGATGTGAAATATTTTTTTATGCCGCGTTATGCCGTTAATAAAAGCAAAAATTTGAAGTATTTCTGTTCATTTTCAGATATTAGATGGTATTAGTGTATAACATGTATGAATGAATGAAGACAGTTCAATGCATTCATCGCTTTGAGATCATTCGCGCTCATTTCAGGATCATCAGTCTCATCGTCATTAATACATTAAATATTTAAGTATCATCATTAATCCATTAATATATATTAGTCCGCGTGTATTTTTCTTTATAGACACGCGCTTGTCATGTGGTCCATCAATGCTTATAGGCTTGGATGAGCTGCAAGTTTTACTTTGCGTAACAAGCTATTACTTTCACTGCTGTACGCTTCACAGCCTCCAGGTTCTACTCGGCAGACGCTGCCTACGCTTCTTCGTTTGCATAAGAAAAAACTTGTGATGCGCAGGCAAGCCGCTACGTAATTAAGGAGATTGTTGTTACGAACAATTCCATTAATCGCTAGGGATCGAAATGCGCGCCATTTAGAGCTCTTTGATTGCTGACAATGTTGTAGTGAATGTATTTTGCTGTATTGATATTGCAGCAACATTCAGTATTACCAAGTTGCTACAGCTCGCATTGCCTGATATTTACGCTTGCCGCTCACTTTTGCGTTGCGACACGAGAATCGTTCTCATAATCGCAGATGTTTACGCCTTGTTCACGTCAATTAAAGTTCTCACGGAACTGTTCTAATGCTCGTAGCATGGCGCACTCTATCAGCAAATATATGCGTTTTGGTGTCAAGAGCATTTCTTGAGTTTCTAGATTGTAGTCTAGAATGTTACTATGTGACCGGCGTCTTAATATTATATGTTGCAAGGCTACTTATTGACTCCATCTGTTATATTCTTTGACTTGCAGCAATCGCTTCGTCTTTTGCTAGGCGCTTGTCATTAGGTCAAGGAGCGTTCACTTTCGTAAACGTGCTGAGTACTGCAACACTCAACACGTCGAATGAATCGTAATTTATTCAAATACAAATCAATATATACCTAATTACGATATAAAAACAGAATTTGTCATTATGATATACATCTAATGACGAGTTTCATTCTCATTTAATAGCAGTAAAAATAAATTTAAAAAGTCAAAAGTTAATACTTGTGAACGTATTGCACCTTTAATGCATTCAATATATTCGTAACATTTTGATTTGCAAATACCTTGGTCGAAGCAAAAAAATATCGAACTACTTATCAAACCATGTATTATTTATATTCGATTTATCATGCCGTAATGCAGCATGCATATCAATGATTTATTTTCAATCACAATTGTTTAACTATCATTTTTATATCGGCATCTTTGTGCTGAACGCACTTTCTTCTTTAGATTCTTCTACGGCAACTATAGCAATAATATTAGATAGAGAGCAGAGACATACAATATGCAAATGTTGACAAAAATCGTGCATTTTCCTCACCATCATATAGCCGCCGATGATATTTGTGTTGATGAGTATATTTCCCCACTTAGTCTGTCTTGCACAAGATCGAGTCGGGGAAACGTGTTCTGAAAAACGATAATATTCGACACTCTTTAGACTAAAGTAATTATGTACAACATTTTCCGTCCGTCCAAAATTCTTAGTCCTGCGTAATAAAGTATTTCTTGACTGCGGTGTAAACTTTAATAAATTAAATGTCTTCGCCCTGACCTAGTTGCCTCTAAAGCAAGGCATCACTTATCAGCTGATGTGGCGTAAGTTCTGTCACTGGCCTCAGTCACCAGCGACGCACATCCTCACCAGGCAGCAACGCACAAGGCACTGACGCTGCGGGTGTCCCCTCGTCGAGCTCACCTCAGAGCTATCACTCGTGTGCCGTCGTTAATCTTCATATGCCCTGTATTCATGAAAGGTGAATCGGGGCACTTTATATATATTATGCTTTGTTATTAAATATTCTGCTTTGCAATTCGTCTGTACATCACAGGTTAGACAGAATTTAGTATGGGACAGATTTTACCGTGATTCATATGACGAGTGGTACAATTATTTTGGTAATAACTGAGGCCGTTGGCTTTTTCGTATCACGATATTAATTGGGAATGAAACCTATGAGAATTTCATCATTTCTATCAAATGCTACCGGACTTGTCAATTTAAGTTTAAATAACACATCAACTTTCTGTAATTCTGAAACTGCTTCTATTTGTGACTTCCACAACAGATTCACATTTTAAAAAGGTTTGATGAACATCTATTTGCCTTACGTTTATCCTCTTCAGCTAAAAAAAAAATAATTTATTGGTGTAAAAATCACTTATGATAATTTTAATCACCTCTATCGCCATTTTGATAACTCATAATTTTTCATACAATGTTACTCGACATAATCCGAGCGATTACCATATGCGCATGTTTCGACATCCCTCTCGCAGTCGCATACAAGTAATTTGATTAAATTTAGAACGATAGTATAAATAAAAAATCTGCTCCTTGCCTGACTTGCATAAGAAGAGCTGAAGACTTGACCTGCAGAGCCAAAGTCAGGGGTTCTGGGTCGCGAGGTTGCGGCCCAAGAATACGTCGGTAGTCAAGCAGTTGATCAACGTGTAGCTTTTTGCTTGCTTTCAGACATGCGTTCATCGTGATAATTGTTGGTCATTGTAGAGGTTGATGATGTTTATGTAAGTACGAATCCTCGTGATTTAGGATCATCGTTTAGTCTATGATGGTGGAGCTTAGAATGATTATACAGCTTGGGATGGTCGTGTAGCTTAGGATGGTCGTGTAGCTTGGAGTGGTCGTGTAGCTTGGAATGGTCGTGTAGCTGAGCTTGGATGTAGAACAATATAAGTATGATCGTACAGTTTAAAGTAGTCTTAGAACTCAGACAGGCCATGGAGTTTAGTATGGTTGTAGGGCTTAAAATGGTCGTGGGATTAAGCAGGCGTGTCGTGGTCAAGCATGCTGACTGCATTAGAGGTCGGGGTGGCAGCGAGCAAGATTCACTTTCATCCTCAGCATCGGCGACGACGAGGTGAGCGTCACCCCAACACCGCCGCCCGCCCTCCTCAGCCTTCATATATTTTGTCTGGATTTATCTTCTCTGCTTTCATATCCATGATAGAATATGCTAAATTAGAGCCATTTTGAGTTTACGCAATACCTAAATATCCTGGAACAATAACCTTACTCGATGCGGAAATGTTTGGGTCGTAAGGTATTGGTACAATTATTCATGTACGGAAGATTGTTACTATTTTAATGTTACTATTGTATTATATTGTCACTATAAAAATTCGTCTTTGATGCGACATTGACATTTCCACCACGCGGGAAGGTTTGGGTTCGTGATACAAAACTATAGCACACAAGTGAAACTTTTCATTATACGCTCAAAAATCAAACAAAGTCAATTTTTTTTCACGACAACCGCGTGATGAAGCCTTATAATGCAGTCAACTGCCTATTTTTGGTGCCAAATGTTGGACTTTTGAATACTGTCGACGTCATCACTTCATCAGTAATTGTCAAAGCTACGCGTGCTAGACAGCGATGTTTGTTTGTATGCTCAGCTTGAGTCCAGGCGGCGAAGGGGTGCGATTCCCGGCTTGCGAGAAAGATTTTATGGCAGCGCACTAGCCATAGAATGATATGATAATGCATCAATGATGAAATGCGTCAATGATAAATTGCGCCAATGATGAAATGCGTCAATGATAAAATATGTTCGATGGCGGTGCCGTCTGGAACTTATAAAGTGAACAGTTGAACCATTAAAAAGCTAATAAAATCATTCTTATGTACGCAAAGCATATTGCAGTTTCATTCTATCATTGGCGTCCTAGTTCCACGCAATCACTCATGACACTCAATCACTTACGCTGAGTCTCACGCTGTTCATGAGCGCCGTAGTTGCGTAAACAGTGAATGAAATGCAGGCTCTGCTTCTGAATGGAGCTATAATCTGAGCTTCAGTGATGATGCAGAGTTCTGCTTATATAGCTAATACTTCATTGTTCTGCTGCTTATACTGTATATTAATCAGACGCACAGTTCGGTAGATGAGCTGTGACTCCCAGGCATACGTTACATCCACAAGAGGGCTTCTCGATTGTCAATAACCGGTCATTACGTGCTCTATTTGATTTATTCGCCGCTATATTTCTATTAAAATTCAGGATACGTTCTGCGATAAGGCTATCAAAATTCTGTATACATGCTACTATGTGGCTATTAGAATTCAGTATATACGTGCTGCTCTATGGTTATTACTATTTAGGTAATGTATTGCTGCAGGACTGAGTGAATTTGCTTGCTATATATGTTCTTCCTGGCAATGATATATGATATATGAATATCAGAGACAGAACAAAACCTTGCAGTATAAGGTTGTCAGCTCTTGATCCTAACGAGGCCCACTAAGACGGAGAACTGAAGGCGAATCTTGAGCGATGTATTGTCAAGCGACGACTGAATGCCACTTAAAGTTTTAATGTATTTCTGGAGTGACAATTACTCCATATAATTCATCCAGATAACAATCAGTTACTAAATGAAAATCTATTAGTCGCTGTAGATAAATGTGTATATTATTTTATTTATAAAAATTTGATTAATTATCACACATTAAAATCCTTCTGGGATTATATTGATGTTTGTAGATCGGCCATATTGCTGCTACAGCTACTGCGGGCAAATTAAATCTTTCTCTTGGCTTGTTTTATCTGATCGTATATGTTAGTTTTGGTACTTGCCTTGTGTTACTGTACTGCTGTTGCTTATAATGTTACTCTGATGTTTTTAACCAGTGATAGTCTTAGTATATTGCTGTTGGTGCAACTAAGGCTAAGACAATTGCTACCGATTTGCTGCAATATTGAAGTGCATGCAACTTGCATAATTTTTGCTGCTCCTGTATTTTGCTGTATTTTCCTTTCCTTGCTGCGACGATTATGAAGGAAATGTACTTGCACTTGGTTTATAGACTGATATATTGCATCCCACTCCTACATAGCATCATTACAGTCCCTATATAGCATCGCACGCACTGTGATGATCAGAACACCACAGTCCCTATATAGCATCACATTCATGGTGATGGTCAAAACATCACAGTCTCTCTATACTTCAGAACATCACAGTCTCTCTATAGCATGACACACGCGGTGATGGTCAGAACACCACAGTCTCGCAACATCACACATGACGGTTTAAATGCAGCAGGCTTCGCCCGGAGCAGACGGCTTCTTTGTTTCAAGTTCAGTTCGCCCTGCGCTGCCTCGCTGTACCTGTCCACGTAGCATCTTTTTTACTTAACTTTCTCCGAAGAAAACATCGAGAATTTCTCTGACTTGAGAGGCCTAGAGCTTCTTGCTCAATTCTTATGCAAGCAAATTTGTTAGCCCCGATCACGTAGACGATGTCTATATTTTTTTAGTCTTTCAACGTCTTTCATCTTTAAAGCCTCAGTATTATAATCAAGCCCAATATTAGGATCTCAGCAGTTTCTGGGAACAGATTGTAAGAATGTTAGATGTAAACAATACTGAAGATCGTACTACCGGTTGAATGACAGGTCTTTAGTTAGATGTATGTTAACGTTTACTTCTATGTTGTTTCATATCTCACGAATATAAAAGACATACGAGTATGTACTGAAAAGGTGGTTTGGCCGAAAGCTCGATCGTTTCTTAGGCCTGTTGTTCATATGACAACGTTTCTATCCATGGTCTAAAGTCCATTATAATGTTCTTGTTTCATTCGCATTTGCATTCAGCAACTTTTAAATTTTAATTTCAAAGTAATTACAGAAATTTACCAGGCTCCCGTAATGTGCTTTTTCAGTTTATGTAAAGAAAAACTATTTCAGTTGATGTTGTCATTTTTATGAACATCACTCTCCTGAATACATCTCGTTTACTTCATTTGAACCTTCAATACGAAACTTTACTGGAGGTTAATTAATTCGCAAGCATTGTGTTAATTTGCCACACTCGTGCATGTGTGTAATCGGTATGCGTGTTCTACACATGAATGACGGTGCAAAATATCTTAAGACCACGACGATTTTAATTAACACCGTGTCATAAATCAATAATCAATCTGGTGTATAATTGATAAGTGAGAAATACTACTTTAATATTCGAGCCGAAAACTGGATTAATTGTACTAGGAATTCATTACATATACATGGCACTCAGCACTTCGGTTTCACTTTCTTTCGGTCGTCTCTCGTCGCGTGACATAACGGGCAGTTTCTCCTCTTGCTCAGCGCTATGATTGATAACCATCCATCAGGTAAGCATAGAAACTGAGCTCCATACTTGATTATTCTTGCACATTATGATAAGAAACTATACTGTTAATTAAAGTGTAGTTGAGCGTTCTTCTGCTAAATGCTCGTTTATATGAGGGCTTGCTTAATTATATTGTTAAGATTTGAAATGAATGATTAGAAGATTCTGGTCACGTGAGTATTGTATCCCACTTGGTAAAGCTGTGTGAGCATTTTTATTGGGTTGAGTAATGTTATCAGTTGCTTCACCTTCTTCAGTTGGCATTAAGCTATTTTTAACTGGCCTAGTTTTATTGAAATTGGAGTCAACATTATTTTTTATGTGGCATGATTTTATTAGAATTGTCAAAATTCAGATAAAAAATTAAATACAGCTTAGTTTTTCTCACCATAGAAATAGGCTCGGCTATTTTTACGCCAGATTAAATTTTCCAAGCGAACAAATAGAACAATATTTCAGTTGTTCATATGTCAGCTTGATTAATGAGATTCAATTTTCTAATTA